TGGGCTGGCTCCTTGTGGAACTGCCTGGGTGCTCTGCTCCCCTCATGGCAGGGACCAGGAGGAGCTGGGGACAGCACTGTGGGGCCACTGACACCTCTGCTCTTCCCTCTGTGGGGTGGGCACAGCTGGGGCAGCTCTGGGGGTGGCACAGGGTGGGCATTGCAGGGCAGGGGTTGTCCCTGGGAGTCCATCTGTCCATCCCCTGGCTGCAGGACAGGCAGGCACAGGACCAGGGGTTGTCCCTGGGTGTCCATCTGTCCATCCTGTGGCTGCAGGACAGGCAGGCACAGGACAGGGGTTGTCTCTGGGTGTCCATCTGTCCATCCTGTGGCTGCAGGACAGGCAGGCACAGGACAGGGGTTGTCTCTGGGTGTCCATCTGTCCATCCCCTGGCTGCAGGACAGCCTTGGAGGGAGCAGGGCATGGCATTGGGAAATCTCCATTAGCTGTCTGTGCCTCAGTTTCCCCATCTCGGATCCTCATTTTGATTTACAAAGTGATGCATAGATCTCAGTTTTACCCCTCCAGGAGGAGTTTTGCCAGCAGATACTGAATCCCCTCGGAAAAGAACAATGCACAGAGCAGCAAGAGTTGATGAACGTGCTGACAATTAACAATCCTGTCCTGGCCAGCAGTGGGGTGCAGAGGGAAGGCTCAGAGCTGCTCCCAGCACTGCCCTGCTCCCACCAGAGTGACAGGGTGTCCCTGTGCAGGGTGACACTGCCACTGCCGCCGTCAGCCCGTGACACCCAGATGAGCCTGTCGGTTCCACGTACTGTGATTGCCACCCCCTCCTCGCCCAGCACGGCAGCCAAATTGGAGGAGAAAAGGTCAGAGAGCCCTGGTCATCCTCTCCCTTTCCCCCACATCACTGCCTGGCCGGGATGGGAATGAGCAGTGACAGGTTTGTGTGGCACCTGGGAGCAGGGGATGGACAGCAGCGCTCCTGTCGAGCTGCACGGGCAGCCTGGGCGCTGCTCCTGGCACCTGCTGGCACCAAAGTGACAATGACAAGTTCTGTGATTAGAAGAGGGCCCCAGCACCCGCCTCCCCCTGCAGAAAGGTCTGTGGGAAGCACCACCCTCTGCTTAAAATGCTGGATGCAGAGGGAGGTCAGCTGGGGAATGGATTCTTTTCTTGTCTTCTCTTTGCATTTCGGTGCAGCAATGTGTCAGCTCAGGTCCAGGAGAATCTCAGCCTGAAAGTGCTTTTTGTTTGTTTAATTTTTGTTTTCCCCTTCTTTTCTCCATTCTTCACGTGTTTTTTTAAGAGAAGGAGCAGTATTGATAGCACCCCTCCAATTGTTATCCCCTGTGTGAAGAGTGCCTTACCTCAGTGCTTTCCAAGAGACGTGTAATCACTTCAGGCTGTTCTGCACTGCTAATTGTTTTTCTGTTTTTATGCAAATGTGAAAATCCTCATTTGATCCTCCTAAAAAATACTATTTTTACAACCAAATGCTTTTATTTGGGTTTCAGGGAGGACGTGCTGCTCTGAGAAGGCTGGAAGACATCACAAAAAGAAAAAAAGGGAGATCCAGTATTTGCCACAGATCTGCAGTGACAAAATGGGATGGGGAAGGAGATGATGGCAGGTAGGGAAGGTGAGAAGTGGCTGCAGGATTGTTTCTTTCGAGGCAGGTGAGATAACCCAGCTCTGTAATGCCTCACCCAGCTGCAAATCTGCCCAGAAAATTCATCTTTTCATAATATTTTTATATGTACAGCTCTTTCCCAAGTCCCCCTGGGATGTCTTTAATGGGGTGCATGGGGTTTTTTTTTTCTTTCTTGTTTGTAGAAGAAAAACTTTTCCACAGGAGACGTGGGGAAACAACCCTCCCTTTTTCTGGTGGGAAAATAAGTGCCAGTTTTGTTCACCTCTATTTCTGTGTAAATGGGGTTGTTAGAGAGAGAGCCTGTGCCTGGGGTATGCAGAGCCTCACCTGTCTCACAGACAAAACCCATCACGCCTGACAGCACAAATTCAATGATTTCCCTGCGATTCCAGCCGGGGAGGAAGGCACAGAAATGAGAGAAAGAGAAATGCACACTGTCCAGGTGGAAACTGCTTTCCCAGCACTGTGATTTTTCCTGGGAACTGGAGCCAGCAGCCTCCGTGGCAGGAACTTTTCCAGCTGCTCGCCCTCCCCTCCCTGGCTGCTGCTGCTTCTGTGCAGTTATAGATTTTAAGATAAGGTGCTTTTGTTTCCCAGCTGTGCCTGGGTCACCGTTTGGAACTGATATGACAGGCCTCAGGCTAGCAGAGAAATTTGTTACAAGTTCCCATTTCGGGGACGTGTCTCCAGTCCAATAGCCTATTTACTCTCTCGGGGATCTATTTTTAAAAGTTATTAGCAGATTACTGGTTTTCTATCAACCTCAGGCACCAATCTCCCAAAGATACTATTGTACTTTAATAAGGTGCATTTGATAATCCTCAGATAAAGGCATTTGAAGTGAGGGGGAGGAGAGGGAGAAACTCTTGCACCGACTCCAGTAAGGGACACACAGGCCAGAAAAGGGTTAAATACACTCATGTTTCTAAATGGCTGAACTACTGTATGTTGTAGTTTTCAACTGCAAATCATCTTTAATAGCAGACATCACGGGATGGCTCATTACATTAAGCTATTTTTCATGCTATCTCCTGTAATATCCTTTAATCCAATGCGTTTCAAATCACCTCAGGCTAAAATAAGAGACATAGCGATGTAATAGCCTAGTGTATTAGTGGGTTAATTGCCCTGTTGTACTCTCTAGTAGATATCTCTGGAATGAGTTCTATATTAATTGTAAATTGCTTAATACATTTAACTCCTTGAGCAGCTTGGTCCTCCGCTCTGTCTTTAATGAGGAAGAAAACTTTGGAGTTGGGAATAGTTGGGATTTTTGGTGCCCGGCCCTTCCCCACCAGCTCTGAGCACTCACGTCATCCTCTGGCACTTGGGGAGAGTCAGCCTGAAGCACTAAAAGGAAATTATTGCTCTTTTTCCTGGCAGGTGCCAAGTTCTGCAGCCTGCAAAGCCACAGCACCTCGCTCAGAGGGAGCTCAGGGCCAAGTCCCTGACCCCAGGCCCTGCACAGAGCTGCAGGACTTTGTCCCTGAACTGGACAATCAGAGGAAGGGGGAGAAAAAAGGGAAGGTTTAAATAATACATAAGATTTTGTCTTGGCAGAAAGGCAAGATGGATGAAGTGCTCTGCAGTCTGCCAGAGGATGCAGCAGTGGGTCACTGACACACGCAGCTCACAAAGTATCGCCCATAATGTGCAGCAGCTAGTTTTCTAAAATTACTTCTGCAGCACCAGCCAGATTTGCAGTCACTTTTCTGAAGATTGGAACATAAGTGTCACCAGGCTACCAGAGGGTAATGTCACTAATTTCTTTGGATTGCTCCCAGTGTACATCAGGGGGGTGCAGAAGGAACAGGCACGGTGGAGGTTGGAGGGGGTTGTGTAATTTTCAGGTGAGACACTCTTTATTAATTTCTTTTGGGACATTCTGGATTCTAAAACTCCTGGCAAAAATGTTAGTGTCAATTTAAAGGCATGGGGGAGGAATGCCGAAAAGTTTATTGCTTTGAAACTTTACAAGAAATTCTTCTCTGAAGTGCCCCCTTAAACCCAGTGGGATGGCAGCTCTGGGAGAAGGGGGCTGGGGTCAATGGTGTGAATTTAACCTGTGTGACCCAAAATCCTGCTCACCTGGTCTGGCCTGTGCAGCTCAGCCTGTTCCCAGCACAATGTGGGCATGGAGCAGCATCCTGGGTGCATTGTGGATCCCTTTCTTTACACCTGACAGCAGTTATATTTTATATATTAAATATAATATATTTATATATTAAATATAATATCATAAAGGTGCCATTCAGGACACCTTTTGTAAAACTTTAATCTCAGATTCCAGTGGTTCTAGTGGAGCAGCCCCTTCCAGCTGTAGGGTTTCACAGAAGAGCTGCTTTGCTCCAGGTTTGTAATGGGGGCTCAGGTTCTTCCCACCCCTGAATTCCCTGTGCTTTACATGGATAGTCTGGGCTAAAAGAAATATCATCCCTCTGTTTTAAAACTAAGGTACTTGGGAGAGAATGTGCATGAGGATTTCATCGTTTGTGAAGGAAAATGCCAGTGGAACTAGGGAGATAGTTGGGCTTGGAAGAGAAGACACAAAGTGCTTAGACTGCTGGAAAAAAATCCATCAAGTAATTCTCTACCTATAAAATAGGTGGTAATGCAATCTGAGCTTAATTTTGATGGCACACTGTACTTCATAACAGTGACAACACCTTAAAAATGTAATGAAAGGGCCTGATTTATTGCTGAAATAATCCATTTAGCACTCCAATAAATAAAAGGAGAAAATACAACCAATGTTTCGTCAGAAAAGGGAAAAAAGAGAGAAAAATTGCAGTGTGTAGCAGTTTTCTGGAAATGCATCCAGAGTTTTGGGGCTGATTATTTTCCTGAAGACAAATATAAATTCCCAGTTAGATTTTAAGATTTAGAGCTGATGTCCACTCTGCATTCTCATGTACTTTGAAAGCAGCAGCCCTGTGACACAGCAATGCAGGGACCATGTTTGACTGACAAAGGGGAGGAGAAAACACTGAAAAACCACTGACTTACTGCCTTACAAATATTTGATTTTGAATATGCTCTTGTAGCCATTAGGAAGTGCAAAGCAAACATATTTTCCCCTCATGCCAAATTTGTTTTAATGACATGAGGTTACTCCTGCAAATGTCAGCTCCACCCTCCTTTCCCCGTTTCCCTTGGCCCACAGCGGAGCCTGGTGGGTTTTACACTCCCTCTACATCACTTCTATTAATCTGTTTAATCTGCTCCAGGGCCTGGCAGTGGCAATGACAGGAAAAGCAATAAAATGCTCCCGTGGCAGATGTCTGTGTTCGGGTGTCCTGAGAGCAGAGCTGCTGCTTCTCCAGAGAAGAGGAAACTTCCCAGTGCAGGAACAGTCACTCTGCAGGAGGGGGTCTGAGCCGTCTGGACGCTGACACCCAAGGTTTTAAAGCCATAAATACTTCAGGGTGACCTAATTGTGACTTTTCAGCACCTGAAGGAGCTGATGAAAAAGATGGAGAGAGGGTTTACAAGAGCCTGGAGGGAGAGGACAGGAGGGAATGGCTTCACACTGCCAGAGGTTTATGCTGAGTATCAGGGAGAGGTTCTGTTCCATCTCCCAGCCCAGGAGTCAGTGCTTGCACCAGCCAGAGCTGCCCAGTGTTTCAAACTGAGTGGGAAGGAGCATGGATGTAAAAACAAGGTGAGAAAATTCAGCAAAATGCAGCCAGGCTGCCCATTTTGGGGATATTTTGATTTAAAGCCTCAGAGCAGCTTTCCCTGGTGCATCCATCCCTTGTGGGCCCTCACAGGGCTGCAGGAATGGCTCCAGTGCTGGTGTCCCACCGTGCCCTGCCCAGCCCTAATTGGCCTGTTTGTTTTGCAATAAGTGATTCCTGCCTGTCTTGGGGTGGATTGTTTTTCACACCATTAAATGAAGTTCTGCTGTATTGATCCCTGTTTTTCCAATTTGAAGCCTGAAAAGTGATGAAGACATTTTCTTGTTTTCTCATGTACTTTTCCCTCAGTTCATTTAGGTGACCTGTCTTTAGTTCCTTGCTCTGCTCGCTGTAATTGCTTCTTCAGAGTAATGTTACACCGTGAGCGCGGCTCTGCAGCCGGGGATGGCTCCCTGGCAGTGATAAGGACAGAGCAGAGCAGCGTCTGGCTCTGATAAGGGCAGCAGAACAGCACAGCCTTGCAGAAACAGATAAAGGACGGAAGTCAGGCAAACAGAAGCCGTGCAACACGCAAGCAGGAGGCAGCCCAGCTCTGCAAGGCTGGCAAAGCAGGAGCTGGGCACAATAATGATGATATTGTGCTCGCTGAAAAGCAGGGGACGAGGAACAAGGAGACCAGGTGTGAAATCCCACCCTAAAGAACCACATTAGGGCTTCCGCTAAGGGGTGTGGCTATGTAAAATAGATTGATACATATGCATGATATAAGGGGGATGGCTCATGAATATGTAATGATTAAAACTTGTTACCTGGCGCTGGGGGCACTCAGCACAAGGAGCTTTCTGATAACCAGAACTGTCAGAAGGTTTGTCTGGCTGACTCTGGTAGTCATCCTGCAATATTTACTGGGGAAGGTTTGTCTCAAATGACACCCCAGTAGCAGCACCTCTTGTGAAGGCTCAGTGGAGCAGTGCAGAGGGTGAGAGCAGGACCACTGGACAGCTTTGTCTCTTCAGGGTGCTTAGTATTTTGCTTAAGAGATGGAACATTGTGTCTGGACAGATGTTGTCATTGATGTGCTCCTTACCTTTGTGAAGAATCTCAATGCTCCAATGTTTGCATTAGGTTTTGCCAGGTTTCTGTTTGGCATTAACAGGAGGGGTGGATTTTTCTAGAAGAGCTCAATAGGGTGAGTGCTGAACTCGGGTTTAACTAAGGAGGGAGCAATGGTTGCTCCAACTCAGCCTCACCTGCAATTATTGAATGTGTGAGGTCTAAACGGGGTCCATGCACAGAGAGATGTTTTCCAGTGGCTTTGGTAGGCTCCACACTTGCAGGATTTACTGCTGAAAGCCAGAAGTGCAGCAAGCCTGGGAGGCTGGCATTGTTTCCTCCATCCCTGAGCTGTTCCCACCCAGCCTGGCACATCTGGGATGCTCCAGGTGGAGGGAGGGAAGGCAGGACCACTTTGCTGGCTTGCCTCAGTGTGTGGGCAGGGACTGAATTTACAGTTTGAGCTGTGAAATGTCTCACAGCAGCATCCTTGGTCCCTCTGCACACCCCAGGCTCCCTCCCCATGCACTTGTATCGAGAGGGTTATGCAGTAGACATAGTAAACAATAGAAAATACATAAACAAGGAGGGTTCAATAATTTCCTTTTCCCCCCTCTCCAAATCTTTGGAAAAAAGCTAAAAAAACAGGTGGTAATTTTCAGAAATGTTCAAATCTGCTCATTCCCTAAGAGATTGGAAGGATTTAGGGTTTTTAAATTTTTTTTTTATTGTAAACTACCTTATGACAATTGGTGATAAAAGAGCTGAGCCTCTCAAAATCCATTTTAATAAAACACCGTATGACCTCATAGATATGCATAGGATTTAGAAATAACATGGATTTTAATGAAGGTACTTGAAAGGTATGGTGCCATATTGCAATTTTATGGAAGATCTTAGATTAATGAAATTAAACGTGAACTGCATTGTTTAGATGATGAACTTAAGGTCATATCTGCAGCATTTGAAAGAGAAACCTTGAGTGGAGGGTGTAGAATCATTGATTTAGACCCTGGTAGACAGCTGAATAGCAAGCACTGAAGCATGAAGGTAAATTCCCATATTTCATTGTTAGAAGGTTAGCTGGTGGCTGCCAGCTTTTCAGTGATAATCACCAACCAATTCCACCCTGTTTCAAAAAAGATTTTGCCTTTGTGTGCTAAGACACTTTTAAAAACCATTACTGCTCAAAGCAGGGGCACACTGTTTAAAGGGAAGCTATTTCTGCAAAATGCAGGATGGCAATGAGTTGATGCTGTCCTTGGATAGTGATGCTATTAAGTTCATTAGGATCATCATCCATTTTAAATGCTTATGAGCAGAATTGCCACTGTTTTGCTGGAGACACCAGAGGTACCTCCTCCTGCAAACCCCAGTGATGTGCCATCAGTGATTAGATCTCTTGCTTCCTTTAGTTTTTGGTAAGACAAGGGCCCTTTTGGGTTTCAGTCCTGTCTGAAACCTTGCGCACGCAGGGAATAAATGCACGAACATGCACATGTCCTGGGCTAATAGACAGGAATTTGTACAACAGGAAAATTGCAAGGGACAAAATCCTCAGGCCTTAAGAATAAGTGATAATAGAATGATACTGCCAATTACTGCTGGGGACCAGTGTTGTCACAGGGAACAGCCCTGGAGATGGAAGGACGAGGGGCGGGGAGAAGATTCCCTTTCGACAGTTTGCCGTTAAAAGGAATTTGTCAAGGATGTTAAAATTAGACCTAACTGGGCCAGATCCTCAGATGACATCAATCAGCCTGATTGTCTACTGAAGTCAGTAGACTTCAAACCCTGATCTGGCCACATGCTCCCCTTTGTTCTTTTCCCAATCTTTATTACCTGCATCCTGACGCTGCCTGGGTGCTGCTCAAGCCCCAGCCCTGCTGATGAGGAATATTGTAATATTTACAGGAAGCATTTAGCTGCTGGGGTGCAGGGCTCTAGCTGGGGACCAGAGAGAGCAAACCTCAAAAAGCTGCTCTCAGGTGGGAACTGAGGCTTCTGTGTCTAATGTACTTCCTTGTATTTTCTCTTCCAGGCTGAATTTTTTGGCAAGCTAAGCTAAACTCTGCTGCATCGTGAAACCGTGTGAAAGCTGCCAGTAAGGAGATTGAGTAAGAAATAGTGTTAGATAATGGCTGTAAATGCATTATGATCACTCTTTTCATTAGAAACTTCTTTGTTTTCTCCCTGGTGTATACCACAAACAGCTTGCACATGATTTATCTGTGTGTGCTTGGGAAGAGAGGCAAGGGGAAATAAAGTCTTTGCCATGAGATGTTTTAAAATGCAGCTGGGACACTTAGAGATGTGATGCTTATTAAAATAAATGGAAGCTGAGTGTCTAAATCCCCTGGTCACCCTTGGAAGCCTTGTCCCTCATGTTTATCTTGCAGTGGTTTCCAAAAGGGAATTGCACATCCCATTTCCAGGGTGTGTCAGTGCAACTGGACAGTAAAGCTGGGATCACACGGGGGCCAGGCCCAGCTCATGCCATGGTACAAAGTTTTGAAATAGGGCACAGCACTTTCTGTATAAACTCTCTGTATAAAAAAAGTCCAGGTTCCACAGAAGTTAAGGGAATGTGCCTTCCCTCTCCCATTTCCAGAGATTTCTGCCCTATGCAGCTCTCAGGGCTGGACAGACTCACCCTGCTGTGTCCAGTTCTGCAGAGCTGACTTGCTGATCTTTCAGTACATTCATAACTTGCCACCCTACTGCAAATCTTCTGAAAAATATGTCTTAATTTTTAAAAGAAAAAAACTCTTGGCATTGTCCACTTTGGAAATGCTGGCCCATTAAGTCTAAACAAGGCATGTTAAATATCAATTGATTATAAAACCCATATTAATTGATGTTCAGCAGCCCTGCTAATGGAGAGGAGCTCATTACATAGCAGTTAACCCTCAATGCATATATATTAAATAATCAATTAGTATTTATTTAACATACAATAACCTCCCTATTAGTGCTAAATTAAAAGCCTCTTTATGGAGGCCTTGCAGAAAGCCCTGCACTGTGCTAACCTGGAGCCAGGAATTTGCATTAAGAGCTTCAATCTTTGTTACCTCTGGTGCCCCCAGGATGATTTTTAGGTGTTAAGTGAAGGAGTAAAGGAGCTGTGTTTGTGTTTGCTAAAAAGTTGGTGAGTTGCTGCCCATGTGGTCACAAGAAATTGCAGAGACCTGGCAGGTGATGAGTGAGAGGAAAACAGAGGGATTTGTACTCCAGTAAAAGAAGTAGAAGTAGAGGAAAAGTATTTTCAAATGGAAAAAGAAAGGAGAAGGAGCAGAGAGACAGGCAGACAGCAGGACAAGATAAAAGCAAAGAAGTGGCACGGCTGGGTAATAGAAACAGGGCAAACTGGGGAACTGGGAAAAGGAGTAGTTGAACTAAATTGCCCAAAATGAGTCTCTCCTGTGCCACGTCCTGAGCTGCCATTTATATCTGTGTGCTGTATGGAATATTAGCAGGTGGATTCACTCCCATCTCTGCCTGGCCTGAGTGTGACAAGGAGGGGAATAGAAGGGAGCTCTGCTGTTTTCCTTGGAGCCTGGGTGAGTTTTATATTGGGGTCTAATAGGCCCAGACCCTATTTGGAGCTGAATTACATCACATGCCTATGCAATAATCTCTTTTCTGGTGGGGGGAAGCTGGGAAATCAAGCAGCTTCTCCAAAAGTCAATTCTGGCACTCAAAATGGAGCCAGCTCAAGAAATTGTCATTGATCCACTTCTGAACTTGGAGTAAATTTCCATAAAAATAATCAGATCCTCTCAGCTGCAGAGGTTTTAATGCCATGTGTTTCACTGGGTGGGATGGACAGGCCGGGAGAACAGGAGCTGAGCAGTGATTTGGGTTCATTTTCCTCTTTTTCCCTGAACCACTTCTGAACAGGGAGCTACAGGGTGAGTGGGATGGGAGACAAGGCTAGTCTCCTTGCAACTTCTTGGCAAAAGGGAGTAAAAACCAGCAAATTGTTTGGTCTGCTCCTTAGTGGATGAAAACTGGAGCAGTCCTTAGTAGGGCTTTAAAAAGCTTGATTCATTTAGGCTCCTGGGAATGTGGCTGGCTGAAAACCCCTTGGGAAGTCGGAGAAGCTCTGACAGGGGGGCAGCCAGGTCCAGGCTGGAGCAGGTAATGACAGCTCCATCTCAGAGGTGTGAAGAAGAGCAGGGACCCTGTGGAGCAGCCCTGGTGGGATGGGGGGTTTCAGACATGTGTGAAGGGGGTGGGTGCCCTCCTTCTTTCACTGCCCCCATCCAGAGGGAGAATCCTGTGGCAAAGGAGACAAGGAGATCTGGGGCTGACAGAGATGGGCCAGAGCAGGTAAATAACCATGGATTTGAAACATCAGCAGGCAGAGTTTAATGAAGGGATAAGCAAAATAAAACTGGAGGTGAGTGCCAACGCTGTCTGAAGGGTAATAACGAAGCTGATGGAAAAATTGCTTTAACCATTTTGGATCTCGGGGAAGACCCAAATGTAATTTTGCTGAGGAAATGCAATCATATTTCAAGCTTTTTAGGCATGAGGCACGCACACATCAATGCCTGCTCTTCCTGAAGCTCAGAAGGACTTTGCTGTTGGCTGCTCACGGTGGTAGAGAGACCTTGGAGGTGTTTCCTCCAAGGACAGCGCCAGCTGTTTGAGCAAGTGATGGTCACCTGTACTCACAGGTATATGATGTATTTGTAGCACTCACAATAAATTACTTCTTTCTCTCCTTACAGCTTCTGCAAGCATTCCCAGTGGCTGGCCTATTCATCAGGGCTGTTACACTGCTGCTGCTGCTGCAGAGAGGGAAGTACCTTTTTCTCTTCCTCTTCATTAGCATGTGCCATGGTGTGAGGCACTGTGCTGGGGAGGGAACCCCGCTGCGAGCAGCACTGGGTAAACACAGCCGAGGTGACAGTGACAGTCCTCATCACCGAGTGTTAGCAATTCAAACAGCCACATCAGTCAAGGACTTGGAGAGGAGGGAAAGCAGAAGGGAGAATGTGACAGTTTGCAAACACTCCGCTGCGTGATTTTGTCGTAGGTGTGTTCATCCTGGAAGTGCCTTGGAGGAAATGCAAATGAATTCTGTGCTGGACAAGTCTGTGTGCAAGTGAGGACTGATGGGGCTTTGTTGGGTGTGGTGAGATTTCTTCCTCTTGTAGATTGAGATAATCAAAGGGCTTTTGGAAAATTTCAGGAAATCACCCAATGCCAGGTTTTGCCTACAGGGCACGGCAGTCTTTACTAATCCATTAAAAATAAGCAGGAGAAAGTAGTAAAACAAAAGCAGTGATGCAAAACCAAACTCCAAAACTCCATCAAGCAAAACCTGATTGTTTTCCCTAGTTAAATTTTGGGGTGTTTGAAATGTACTGATGTTTCCGAAAATCACCAATTTAATCCTTCCACACTGCACTGGAAATACCAAACCTAAGAAATTTAGGAAATTAGGCCGAAGGTTTTCTATTACCCTGAAATTTTGCCTTTGAGAATTGATAACACAGATGGAATTTCCTTGGGAAAGAATTGAGTAAAGGATGTTGAGGAATTATTTTAGTTGAACTGACTGCAATGATAAAAATGAATCCTGGAGTGGGACAGTAAAGGAACTCATGCTAGAATATTAATTCTGCTTCCAATCATCCAAGGAATTCAGTCACTGAAGTCAGGAGTGAATTCAGTCTGTCTGCTTTCCAAAGGCTTTGGGGAGGCCTTGCCAATACTATTCTCTCCTGCTGGATTTGTCTGCAACTCTTCAAAGTTATTATGGAAATAATTTCCTCTCTGAAGAAGCAGCCGCCTCTGTCCTGCTGGTGTGTCTCTGCTGTGGATTACTCCCTCTCACATCACATCTCCCCTCAGTCCTGCGAGGCAGCTGTGCCTGCAGGGTGTTGTTCAGCCCTTTACCCAATTATCCAGGCCCTGAACACCCATCCCAAGCTAATCAGGAAGGACAATCTTCTCTGGGTGAAAACGCTCTCTGAGGACTCACCTCTGCCTGGCGCCTTCAGGGAGTGAAACCACTAATTATAGCAGAGGAGTGTTTGCATTATCTGCATAGTGGTAAGAGCAGAAAGGGAGACCCCAGGGCTGAGAACCCTCTGCATCATGGGTTTGCTGTGCTTTTTCTGTGTGGGACTCCCCTCTTGGAAAATCCCAATCTAAACACAAATGTGCAGAATTTTATTGAGTGTAAGAACATTGAATTTCTATCTGTAAGGAATAATTCCTATCTGTAAGGAATAGGTAATTCCTTTCTGTACCCTATTAGAAATCCTCAGCCTGCAGGCACCTGGGCAGTGTAAAATGATGATTTAAGCTATATCATCTCTGTGATTTCTTGTCCTCCATCACAGCCCTGCTGATTTCAGCCTCCAGAAGTTCCAGAGCTGCCTCTCAGCACTGGCCCACAAGCTGCGCAGGTTGAGGAAGATGTTGCCTGTTTTCTGAAGGACGGGATGAAATCACTCCACACATGTCCTCTATCTATTGCTTCTCTGAGCAGGGAAAACCAAAACGCCTTTCCCACCATTTCATTTATTGTCTTTCATCTGTTTCCTGGGAAAATCCCTTTTTTTAGTACTTTTGTGCATGCATGTGAGCCTGTGTGGGGTAGGCGTGCGTGTGTGTGTGTTTAGGAGGTTTAAAAAAATTTCTTGCTGTCAGCAAGTGATGTTACAAACCTGCTCTGACAAGGCTGGTTGTATATTTACAGTTGGTGAGAGCGAAGGCTTCATCAATCTTCACGCTTTGAAAGGGACAGGCCCGCTCCCATGAGCACCTGCTCCGGGAGAACAGCTGAACTGTGACTTTCCAGGGAGCTGGCTGTAAATTTTAGCCATTCCCCCCGCAGCCCACGCATGCTTGAGCTCTTTAACCTTCCCAGGCTGGCAGGAGTCCCAGCAATCAGTTTAGTGCAAAGACTGGGGTTCTTTTTAATTAACCTTTTGTTTCCCACTGCAGGTGTTTCAAAGTTTTAAAAGGAAAAGAGGGGGGGAATATTGTTTGCAGAGGTGCATCCAGATTTTCCATGCTTGGTGATCAAAGGGAATCAGCCTTTCTCGTGTTTCCCCTCCACGTTCACCTCCTGGATGTGTGTCTGTGCCAGCATCCGCTGGGAATTGGCGGCAAGGCTTCCCTTGGGCACCTGCAGAAAGTATTCCTGGGAGTGCAGAAAAGGGAAGTACTGCCCTGTTTGATCAATAGAATTATTAGTAGGACAAGGACCTGTTGTATAGCTAAGAAAATTCATGTGTGGGAATTTATCACAAGGAAAAAAAAAAAAGGCGTTCAAGCCCCACTTAAAACAATAAAACATATCTTTGAGGGAAAGTTTCAGACTTTCTTCTATAAAGGAATAATGGTTTCTATAATTTAATAGGTGGTAAATTTGGTGAGGACTGCCAGCAAATCCATTTCACATAATGATATTTTATCTCCCTGGGTATGGTCATTTTCATGAATGTCTTTTTATTGGTTTCCTTGTCCCACGAAGTGTCCAAGGTGGTGCTGCTCATCCTCAAACGCCGAGCACATACAGAGGCAGCGATGGCTGGAGAAAACTATTAATAATGGTGACACAAAAAATGGGCAGGAACTGTGTGACAGTTAAATGTGCTCCCTATAAATAAAGAACATTTCTATTTGACCCTCAGGGCTGTGGCTTTTCAGCACTTACTTTTGTAGGAGTTAAGGTGGTCACAGCTATTAAAAACTAGAGATAAGCTGCAAGGAAATTCAGCTGAGGATAACGGGGGGGGGAAAAAAAAGAGGGTTTCCAAAGAAGATTTCACTGAAAGTTGCAGGTAGAAAAAAAAATCTGAAACAGCCTTTGGTGAGGGATTTTGTTTACATAGGCCAGGGCAATTTGCTTCTTGGGAAAAGGAGTGATTTATTCTCTTGGTATCTAATTGCAAATTCACAGAGGCAAACCTTTTTCTCATGTAGCTCTGCTGAGAGGGATGGAAGCATTAGTTACGGAGGTTCACAGATTTTTAGAACCCTCACAGTGTACATGGAATATAAACTAAAACTCACAGCTATGATTTCATTCTGGCTGATACTTATGCTGACTAGAGGTAGTGACCACAGTCTGTGACTGCTATCACACAAAACAAGCTGAGTTTCAGGAAAGGGAACTGAGAAATTTTTCTTGGGGGAAAAAGAAGTGGCAAGTTGGAAGACAATCAGAATAAAATGGAAGGAAAGGGGAAATATATGAGAATAGGTTTCCAAGAGGCAATGTATGGTATTATCTGTGTGATATATACACACTTGGTATAAAATGGCCCAGAGCAACTGTGGCTGTCCCTGGATCTCTGGAAGTGCCCAAGGCCGGGTTGGACAGGGCTTGGAGCACCATGGGACAATGGAAGTTGTCCCTGCCATGGCAGGGGTGGGATGAGATGGGCTTTAAGGTCCCTTCCAACCCAAACCATTCTGTGATTCTGTGTTTCACAGTCAGCACAAGGTCTTCGCTGCCTTCCCTCTCATGTGTGGAACCAAAACTGTCTGAATTTTGCCTTTGAATTCTCCCACCTTGCGTGGCTGGTTGCCTGCCAGGGAGATCTGCAGCCCTGCTTGCCAGGAGGAACAAGGATGTGCCAACATGTGGTCCTGGAACTGCAAATTCGGAATGAAGCAAGGAGCAAAAGAAGTGACGAGATGAGCCGTCATGGGAAATGAAGGGAAAACGGTGAAAATGGTTATAATAAATAATAAGAAATGTAGCATGGGCCAAAGGAATAATAGATCAGCACTGGGAAGACTCTAAAAGCTGCTGAGAGTTATTGATAGACATTGTGTAAGGAAAAGAACATAAAAAAAGAAACCCCTGACAGTTTTTCCTTCATGTTCACAAAGGCGGGTGGCAGGGCAGATGCCAAAGTGAAAGATAAATATCCTTTTGCATAAAGAAGAAATATTGAAGGAAACTGGGCAGAGGTGATGGAGAAATTAAGAGTGTTAAAAGACCCTGAAAGCATGTGGTCCATGTCAAACCCCCTTCAGGATTTTGAGCCAAGTCAGCAAAACATGAAAAATCTGTTGAGGGAAATGAGAACCTCTTTGAAGAGCAGTAATGGAGAAATCCTACAAGTGTCAAGTCCAAGGAAGCTTTCCAGAAAGGAAAGGTGGTGGTTCAGAAGAAGGTGGCCTTGCACTGCCAGGAGGCCAAAGTGTGTTTTAATCTGGAGTTGCACTGGAGAAACAGTTAAGAGAAATTATGAGCTTAATTAAGGAAAACCATCAAGGATTTTAAAAAATTGGGATCCGTGCCAATAAAGGGAGAACAAAACTGACAGCAGCTTTCTGAGGAATTAATGCAAATCACAGGCCAGGGAAAAGCCAAAAGATATAATTTCTGCTGTGGCAGGAAAGGTTGGATAAAACACAGTGGGGAAGTGTAATCTGGAGTGAAGGTGATGGGTGAGGGACATGGAAGTGGCTGATGGGTTCTTGCCACCGAGTAAGGATGCACTTGCTTGTGCTTGGAGATAGCGTGATGCCAGAGAATTTCAGAGTAAGGTGATTATTGAGGTGAATTTAACTGAGGGAGGCACAGGGATAAGAGGAAGGGAACAAACCCAGCCAGAGTCTGAGGGAGCCTGGCTTGGGTGGGGAAGCAGCGGGCAAGAGCTCAACGCAAACACCACACGGGCAAGTTTCTGTGTTTCTGCAACAAGTTTCCATGAGAGATTTCTGACATACACAAACACCCTTAAGGAAATAAAACTCCAAGCATTGCGGAAATGGGTAAGTGCACGTTGAAGGGCCATCAGCAGATGTGGTGAGTTGGATTTTCCAATGAGGGCGGAGGACGGGAAGATGGCGGAGAAAGCAGGAAGATGGCGGAGAAGGCGGGAAAGTGCAGAGTCTGTGGGAAAAGTAAGAATCCAATGAGTTTGTGGGGAAGGTGGAAACATGGAAGGTCTGTGGTGAGGGTAGAAAGACGACAGATCTGTGGAGAAGGTGGGAAAATGAGAAAGGCGTGAAAGTGAAGAGTCAGTGGGAAAGGCGGGAAAGGAACAGGCCTGTGGGAAAGCGAAGCATCTGTGGGGAAGGCGGAAAGATGGAGGGTCTGTGGGGAAAGTAGGGACGTGGAGAAGGAGGGAAAGTGGAGAGTCTGTGAGAAAGATGGGGACAGGTGTGTGGGGAAGGTGGAAGGTCTGTGGGGAAGGTGAAGGTGAAGGCGGGAAAGTGGAGGGTCTGAGGGGAAGATGGAGGGTCTTTGAGGAAGGTGATGGGTCTGTGAGGAAGGTGAAGGCAGGAAAGCGGAGGGTCTGTGGGGAAGGTGATGGCTCTGTGGGGGTGGCAGGAAGGCGGGAGAGTGGCGGCTCTGTGGGCAGCGGGGGAAGCTGAAGGTCCCCGAGCAGAGCGGCCGCCATCCCCTCAGCCGATCACCCGCCATGCCGGCCCAGCCGAAGTGGCCGCCGGCCGCCACTAGAGGCTGCTCCACACCTCATTAAACAAACACAAACAGCAATTAACGCACGAGGTCCCGGACGGCGAGGCTTTGACCTCCCGCTTCCCGCACACCAGAAAGATGCGGGACATCTCCAGGGTGTGATCCCCGAAAGGAGTTTGTGATGTACAGCGAGTGTTCTCCTCAGCAATCCCCGGTGGCTTTGCCAAGCAGGGTCCTGCACTAAACGCGTCTCCACAGGTGCCCCTTGCCCACTCACAGGAAGTTTGTAGAGGTTTTATTGGGGAGGAGAGTTCCTTTGTCTGGCAGGAACAGCCACGCGTGGTGTTGGTCAGGCAGCACCCCAGAAATTCATTCCCTTTTGGGAATAAACCAACAAACAGCCCAGGGGTGACACTCAGGTAGCAGCAACACAAGTGTCACACTCACCGTGCTGGGCTCAACACCATCAGCCTTGGATGTTCCTGTAACTTGCACCAAAAATGCAGTGGTTGTTATTAATCTCAGTGCTGTTGCTCTCACTAAACAATGCACAACTTCATCCAAGCGTGCTGCTGTCGCTGTCTGCCTGGCACCTCGGGCGGCTGCCGCCGGGAAGGGTTTATAGGCACTGCACCTGCAGTAAGTAAATATATCAGCATTTTCCTTCCTCCTCTCCCCCAAAGCTCAGGCTCTATTTCCGTTCTCCCCACCACCTTCTTTCGCCACCAACTTCATCTTATTAGTTTGCAAAATTATAGCCTTGCTGTAAACCTGGAATTCAGAACTGAGGAGAATCCCTAGCAGCAACACTCATATTTTCATTTTGTGTTTTTTACCAATGGTGTTGGTCCAGGGTTGGTTTTATTATTACTATTATTTTTTTAAAAACACTGCTCTGGAAGGATAAAGCTGGAAAGCCCTATCTGTGTCCTGGAAAAGCCAGTCTCTGTCAGTATCTGCCATGCCGTGTACACTATGATTTAAAAACAGCTACAGCAATGCACAGACCAGGCTGGAGAAGGGATTTCTCTCACTCCAATTCCCATATTCAGTGGCCCACAGTATTTCTTGTTTAGTCTCAGTGCGTGGGAAGGCAAGAAATAAACAAGAAATAAACAAGAAATAAACAAGAAATAAACAAGAAATAAAGGAGAAATTAATAAGAAATAAACAAGAAATAAACATCCAGGAAGTGACGGTATCCTGTTTTGCACCCTGCTTTTTTTTTGGACTGGTCCTCAGCAGGGGCAGGAGTTGGACTTGGCAATGCTTGTGGGTCCATTCCAAGTCAGGATATTGTGGAATATTCCCCTTGTCTTCCTTTGCTCTTGCCTGGAAAACTCTCCTGTAGCATTTACTGGTTTTATAGCTTTTTATGGAACATGCAACTCTGGCATTTCATTGCTGCTCCATAATCAATGTTAATTCTGCTTTTATGATTTTTAAAATCTACAAGCTCTACTCTTCCAAACTCTGTAAAATGCCGCCAGCGTATCTTGGGATGATTCTGTTTTGTTTACAGATCCCTTGCTATTGTAAGTCTGTGTTTCACTGGTACAGTTACCAGAAAATGGATTAAAAATGAAACTAACATGTTGCTTTGTTTATTTGTTTTTAATGAAGGCTGTTTTGCAATTAGCTCTTTATTTGATCAAAGATTGCCTCTGAATTAATTGTGTGTTTTTGCCCAGTCTATGATTCTTTCTCTGAGACAAATGGGTCAAGTTTTGTTTATGTTGTGACCCACATAAACTTCATGGTAAACTACACTTGGTTCTCTTTCCTAAAACCAGAGCAGCACATGGACATGTGCCTGTAAATTAAATTAAAAGCACAACTGTTGTGTGGAGTTATTTGATCCCACCGTGTCTCACTTTTTCATGAGAATTTTTATCCCCTGCCCTAGCTGCCATTCCTCTTTGGGATACGTGCTGGGTGAACATTGGCAGGCCTTGGTAGAGGCAAGATGCTGCTCACATCATCTTGTGAGCTGTTTGTTGAAATCCCTAATGATGTGTGAGTGCTGGAGAATCTCTGCTTTGGGCTCTCTCTGTTTGGAAACTCTCGCAGCCATTTTTTAAACGCTGTTCTACCTTGTTTTGCAGTGCTGTGCCAGACTTCAGACCATTCCTCTTCTGGCCTCCTCCATGTTCATTTCCACCATGGGCTCCTTCCTCCCCACGCTGCTTGGAAGAGGTGAGAACAACTCCTGAGGCATGGCTGATCCCAGCTTTGCCCCAAACACTCCTCACTACCAGAGGTCACTATGAGTTTGTGACCAGAGCCCTGCTCTTGATGTCCTCCCTGTGGCCCTGGTGTGGCCACTGCTGCCAGAGTCATTGTCCAGTGCTG